TTTAGAACATCAAGAAGGGAATTTGGAAATGTTCACAGTTTCTAACGACAGAATTGGCTCACGATTATTTACGACAGAATTTCCTGGGATGCGCGGTAATGGGACAACTCTCGAAAAGTACCATTTTTACATGGAGGCATTAATGAGCAATACTATTGTACTGTACTGTACGGGGCAAGATCAAGTCATTAATGTCGAAGGATCATTGATCGCCTAACCCAATCTCTTTAGCTATAAAACAATGATAGTCAATTAACACAACTATTTGACCTCAGGAAACTTAATCCATGAAATAAAATAACTAACCGGACTTTGATGCGGTAGGCCGAAAGCACTAGCGGCAAACGGATGATGCGATGGAGTGATGTCGCCATGGGATGTGTGTTGAGCTCTTTGTGCTTGGGGTAAGATCTGCTGATCTTCCTCAGGCTGATGCAGCGGCGTGCCAATACTCGGGATACTAAATCCCGGGCTTGGCAACATGGGATCCATGACCGCAAGAAAATCGCGGAATTGAAAAATAAAAAACAAATAAACGACAACTTGAGAGAAACTTCCTCTCCTGCGTCAAGATCAGATTGTCAACGGAAACGCGAAAAGGATTAGACACCTGGAAAAAGTCACGAAGATAGAATCACGTGATATCAAATGATTTAACGCAATGAAGTTCACGATATACAAAGGAAACAAGTTCAAGAGCTACCACCAGCTTGACAGGGTGAATCAAAGGGCCTTTTTGGAAATACAGCGCAAGAAAAATTTATATATATTTTTTTAAATGAGGTGCGTCCTTCTGCTCATTCGACCTTGCGAAACTTAACTTCGTCTTAGGATTATCATGGTTTTCTTCTCGGCACAGATTCTACATCACGGGATCAATCGTGGATTTTAAAATAAAATGAGTATTATTATCACTTCTACTCTGCTACAAACTTCTAACGACACAATCAATTCTTAACCCGTTATGGAACAACATAAACAAATCCCCACCACATATGTACTGTCTAAATTAGCATATATCGATGATACCCCTAAAAACTCCTTCAAATTAGGAATCTCAGCCGAAAAACATTCCAAAGTCACTTTTATAAAAATTCTGAACGCTCAAGAAAATTTCGATCACAATATTCAACAAAGAATAAAAAGAATAAGATATGTAAAACGGGGACACAGTCAACTGGTGTTATATCTCATGAAAATTTTCCTTCAAATAAAAAATAAAACGCAACATCAAAATGAGCTCTCATTCATCTACTCATCGTCCAAGAAAAGCAACGTTACACGCGTATTTTAGAGGTTTCCGAATGGACTAAAACGAGGATGACATGAAACACAGATACTCATGAGGCGGAATCTGTTTCAGTCCAACAGATAAATTCTTGCCTCATGGTTGGTTGACATCACTGGTGGTTCGATGACTTCGCGACTGACACCTGTTTCTCCTTTCCATAAAATTTTTCCCTTTTCAAAGCAGCTTATTCACTTGTGTCTGTACCACATTTGCAATGTCTTCATGCGTTTGATTTTCTTCTGCAATTGCAATAGCCCGTAGAGAAGTGCTTCCGCAGTTGGGGGACAGCCTGGAAGTACACGATGTTTTCAATTTAGGACAAACGAATGGAATAGGAAACTTCCGGAATAAATTTTGAAGGAAGCACACCGAAAGGAATGATGTAAAATTTGAATTAAACAAACAAGAGTTTATTTTAATTTTCACTTCAATTCAATTTAAATTTAACAGCTCCGGCAACCAAATAGGCTGAAAGTATGATGTGATGGTGACAAGACACTTGAACACATATTAGAATAACGCAGCACTCCTAAAAAATCGAACACGTTCAAAAGGTAACACACGCATCGAAACAGCACCAGAAATACAACATACACGGAATTATTAGTGCTCAAAACAATTCTCGTAAGCGATTTTACAAACAGCAAACACAAGATTAAATAGATTCACAAAAGCTTCTGAGCTGAATGAACTAGGAACAACTAACCCATAACCCATGAAAACTCAATACACTTGAATGTCATTCTGTTCGAAAGAGAAATGCGGCGTCTGACTTTCACTTGATCCCATACAAAGAATTTTTTGATCAACTTCGACCTTGCAACTCAGGGGGGGGGGGGGAACCACTTGTAGAAGGGAATGCATTTTTCCTTCGCAAAATAAATTCCTCCATGAATGAGAAAACAAAACAATAAGATAAACAAAGGCATGAAAGGAATTCGTTAATAAAGTAAAATCCCTCAACAAAAAAGCTATGGGATCAATGGAATAGCTACGTTGTAAAGAAAAATCGTTATAAATCAACTCATTCAACTTTGTGGCTCTTAACCAGGGATAAACCTCGTCGTTGTAATCGATTATTCGTTCTGGAAATGGACCATGCATCTACAGGTGCCCCTACTGTGCTAGTGTGGGAGAGTTCTGACTCATCCTCATTACCATTATCGGCGGTGGCAACCGTGTACTCGGGTACCTTTGCTGGGTTGCCCCAAGGCCCATTTGATCATACACTTTGCGCAAAGCAGGCGCCATTTTATTGGTGACAGTGCCGGCGACGATGATGCAGTCGACTTGACGAGGAGATGCTCGAAACACAATCCCAAAACGATCCATATCGTAACGCGGGGCTGCAATGTGCATCATTTCCACTGCACAACAAGCGAGTCCGAATGTCAAGGGCCACAAAGAACCCTG